AAGTTGAAATTTTAATTCAGCAGAACAAAAATAGATCACAATTGGCTGCCTATCTGATGTAACAGCCAAGATAAAGTATATTCTAAATAGATTAAACTTTTAAATTAATTCCAAATAGAAACATTAGGAGAAAATTTAGGAATTCATTTATATGGCCTTGTTTCTAACTCTCAACCCCTTAGTTTATTCTCAACAGAGCTGTCAAAATGACAATTTTATTTTAGTGTTTCTCTTTCCTTTTTTGGTACCGAGTATTGAACTCAGGATCTTGTGCTACCCAGGCAATCGCTTATTCTACTGAGCTGTCTCCCAGGCCCTTTATTTTAGTATTTCTAAGTGCTGGGCACAAGAAGGCAGACCTTGAAGGCAAATATTCTACTGCTGAGACTGACAGTTTTAAAACTTAAATTAGAGTCCCTCCTCAGACCCTGCTGAGTTTTCCCAAAGCAAAAGCTCAAGTCCTTGCCTTGGCCTACTTAGCAGCCCCCAAGGTCTGCCCCATGTCCTTACCCTTCTCTCCTGTTCTCTTCTCTCTCTCCTTCCACCCTGTACTCAGTCACCCTGGCCTCCTCATTTCTTTGGACCTGCCAAGTGCCCTCCACTGTGTACAGGCAGGCTCTCACTGGACAGCATACTTTCGTCAGGCATCTGTGTGACATCCTCCCCACTTCCAAGGCTTTTTCAGATGTCCCTGCTTACTGAGGCTCTCTATGATCACATCCATGAAATTTGCCTCCAACTCTCCCGGCCAGTCTTGAAAAACAAGTGTCATGAAAGCAATCTTTACCTATGTCCACTGATGTATTACAAGTGCTCAGAAAAATGCTATTTACTAAATACTTAAATAGTATAAAAGCTTGTAATTAATCATATTTTATGGAATAAATAAATGAATGCTTTTCAGGTATTTTCTCAAAGGTCTACAACCACTTGAACTTTGACTAAATCTCAGGCATGTCTATTTTTTCCATCCTTTATCAGCCTATGAAGCTCTGGATCATCATTCCTTTGCTATCTGAATAAGCATTTCTCTAACTACTAGTGAGGCTGGATATCTTAGTGTGTTTAACAGCTCTTTATAATTCTTCCTGGATAACCTACTTACGTTTTTGGTGTATTTTCCTGCACTCCCTTTCTCCACTTCCTCTTCATTTTTTTCTTGAGTTTTTGTTATCAATTTGCAACGAGCTTTGGAATAACCTAATTTTTCTTATTGCTGAAAATGTTTTTCTGAGTCTAAAGCTCTCATCTTTGGATTATATTTGTGACATTGTTCATTGTAGGAAAATATTTCAGTTTGCATGCTGTCTTATGTCTATGCTTCCTATTCCTTCATGATTTCTCTTGTTTTTCTTTTTCTTTTCTTTTCTTTTTTTCTTTTTCTTTTTTTTTTTTTTGTCTTGCTTAGGAAAGTCTTCTCCCACTAGGTTTCCTATTCTTCCTAGTATTGTAAGAATTATTTTCATATTCAAATTTCATTCAATTTGGAATTTAGTTGATCATACAGGGCAAAATAAGGACCAGTTTTCTCCTTCACATAGGTTGTGAATTATCTGTGAATTTCAGAATTCTGAGTTCTTTCCCATTGAATTGAAATAGCACCCTTTTCACATGTTGGGTTTCCACATGCTTTTGGATCAATTATTTCATTATTTATTATCATCCTCAAGCTTATAGATCAGTCCTTTTTTTACTACACTATTTACTCATACTACCAGTGGGACTGGATATCTTTGTGTGTGCTTAACAGCTCTTTAGAATTCTTTTGGATAACCTACTTATGTTTTTGGTGTATTTACTCATAGTGTTTCTGTAGTAAGTTTGTATATATGGTGCCAAATATCTCTGCCCACTGATAAATTGGGCTACTTTGTACATTTATTCTTCCAACACACCTTTGAAATTATTTTGTCCTATTTAAAAAACATTGGGATTGTATTTGGAAGTGTGTTGTTTGCATACAGTTGACTCTTATTGTTCACAGGAGTTACACTCTATAAAGTCACCTTGAACACTGACTTCACAAATACCAAACTGTGGGAGGACACAGGAGTAAGGTGCTGTGGCCTCTGGTCACGATTTTCATCCATCAAAACATAACTTTGTTTCATGTCTTTGTTTACAGGCTGTTTAACGTATGTTGTGGATTCACTGACTTTGAAACCGACACTACATAGCATGGAACCACATGCGTGAACAGGGCTCATCTATTGTCCATTTTCCCGCTAACACACACTGTAGCTTTCTTGTTCTTAGGAACGCACCACTGATCACCCACGTCGACGAGGCGCATGGCCTGAGGCAGGCCGCGAGCAGGACTCTGGGTAACAGCGTGCCAGCTACAGCGGGAAGGCAGCCCACCCAGCTGGCCCCGGGGGGACGCGAGTGTCGGCCAGCACCCGTGCTTCGCCTTCCGCACATCTGTAAATACTGTGGCAGCACCCTGCTCTTTGGAGGTTCAACCACACTTTCCCAGCAGCCAAGTATTTATAAACACTGAATCTGTAATGATGATAAACTCTATGAAATTTTGGAGCACGAATATTCTTATGCTAGTGTCTTCCTTGTTAGGTATTTGGTATCTTTCCATCTTTGTTCAGGTTTTGTTTTCTGTACTCAGTGAATATAATTTTCTTTATGTGAATCTTATTTTTATTAAACCTTTTCATTCATTTTAAAGTAATTTTTACAGTCATTGCACTCTGGGATTTTTATGAAATGTGTAGCTTGTTATTGCTAACATAGTGAAGAACTATAAATTTGTCATATTTATTTTATGTGTTATTTTCACTCAAAGTCTATTAATTTTACTTTTTGCGAGAGTTACGTGGGCTTTCTTGGGGATTCACAATCATATTAGCTTCAAATGGAAGCAGTGCTGTCTTTTTTTTCAGGATTTCAATTTTCTTTTTGGCATATTTGCTAGAACTTCCCCAAATATTTAATAACAGTGGTGATATTTGATACCTAGCTTTCAATTGTTTTTATAAATAAAAATATTCTCTTCTCAGTGTGAATAATAATATGTAAGTAAATTCACGTCAAAAGGGAGGAAGTGTTTACCACGCATCTTCCTTGCTGAATCACTGAGTACATTCATAGTTACCACTTGGAAATAACTGGTAACCTCTTAGAAGATGGTCAGTGCCAATGTGCCACCTTAGCGATGTCAAAGATGTGTTTCTGTTTATGCTCACACTGTAAGATAACAACACTCCACATTCATCTCCCTTAGGTCTAATAAGGATTTAGGAACTCATCAATACCCAGGCTAAACTGAAAATCATTAATAATATTATTCTGAGGAAACAACAACCCTAAAAATTGTACCTGGGGCAGACAGAATAGGAAACATTGAAATTTTTAAAAACCTTTATGTTTGCATTAGTCCTTGTCATGCCCTTTTTTCATCTTATTTCCACAAAAACCACTTTGAGGTTGTAAAGGACACGGTAGCCTTATTGTTAGGTGAAGTGAATCTTTGAAAAATAAGCTGCCCTCTTTGAGGTCACACATGTGGCTAACCAGAGATGAGACCCCGCGTCTCTGTTCCAGGCCTTGTCACATTCCACCACCTTGTCCCAGCACTGTCTCTGCACCCTTTCTAAATTTCTTTCATAGTTTATTCTGAAAGAGCTCGTGATCAACCTTGTCCCTCCCTCCATCCATCATCTGTTTTATTATTCACTCATCTATCAGTCAGTCCATTACTCATCCAGCAAACATTTAGAGAATATTTATCATATGTAGTTATCATTTTAGTTCCTAAAAGTACAACTGGAGACAAGAGAAGGTTCCTCCGCTCATAGAGCTTACATTTTCATGAAACCGGCATAGCAGTGGGATGAAGGGACAATAATAAATAAATACATTAAACAAATTAAGTATATGGAATGCCAAGCAGTGAAGAAGTGAAGAATTAGAAAAAAATAAAGCCATAGAGGATGATTGGCAGTGACAGAGTGGGGACAGAGGATGAAGAGGACAGAGGTCATCTGGCAAAGGTTGTTAAGGAGATGACATTTTGAGCAAAGACCTCTGGCCATGCAGAGGTGATCTGGAGGTATTGGCGCCCCCTGGTGGCAGCACATCGGGCGTGTTTATGGAAAGGCTGTCGTTGCAGTAGAACAAGTCAGAGAGGTACAGGAGGGCACAGAGCCGTTAGAAACAAGATCACAAAGCTGCTGGGAGGACTTTGGTTCTCTATGAAGTCCCAAGAAGGTCTGCATAGAGAAATGAGAGAATCTGACCCAGACTGGAAAGACAGCCCTGCCTGTGGCACTAGAAGCAGACTGTGGAGAGGCCAGTGAGTTATCTGCTGTTAGTTATTATAAAATAGTCAAAGTACACAGAAATGCATGCACAGAAATGCCGACTGTAGAATTATGGGGGAGGCAAAATTTGGATATAGCCAATATGGACAATGAAAACATTTTCCTAACAATTTCGATGAATGAACCCACCTTCTTATAAGGCTGAAAGCAAGGCTAGCAAAATGATACTTTAGAAACTAACAGCATGGGCTGTGCTCTCCAGTTGAGGTAGATGAAGAGAGCAATGAGAAACTGCACCCACAGCGTGGTCTCTGCTCTGGTAGCTCTAAGACGGGAATGGCCTTCATCTGTGAACAGTGGAACGGCGAGAGTCTTTCTTTTCCTTTTTTTTTTTTAAATAAACTATCAACTCTGAATTAGGCTTCCTAAGGCAAACTATCAAAAAAGTAGGAATGTGGAGAAAACTTATGTACATGGCCTAAGACCCTTCTGTTTCTCTCTGACACCTCAATTTGCATGGTCACTGAAAGGCATTCCTACCTCTCACTTGTACTTTTAAGGTCCAGGCCTTGTGTAGAGGGGAAAGAAATCATCATTCCTCCCTCTCTTGTCTTCTTCAGGATTTTCAGCAGTACAAAGCCTGCTGCCACACCCTCTACTGCCTGGGCCATGCAATATCCGGTCCCTTGGGGCACCACACCACCACCGTCCCTTGTCTGCACTCACTTGGCCTGCGCATGCGCATGGTGAGCTGCGTGCTCTGATTTCACCTGGTTCAGCAGCCTTAGCCTTCTCGGATCTCCTTTTCTCTGCCAGCGCCCCCGGAGCAGGTTGTTTCTGAGTGTCCTGAGAAGCAGTTTTGTATTCTCCTTTGCTGACATCTGCTGAAATGGCCAGCATTAAAAAAAGTCATCAGATCTGTCTGAACACGGTCTTCTCTCCATGCTTTGGTGGACAGGGCATGATGATAGGTTTTGGAATTATTTCTTTTACTTTATGTCCTTGGGAAAATAGCTCATTTCCTATGTCCAGAATATCTTCACTTTCTCTACGCATAAATATCCACATAACCTCAAAATTAAGTGCCCTAATTCCCTCAGTAACTTCTCTCCTTCATAGGAATCCATTAATTATGAATCCTAAAGCTAGAAGAGGCAATGAAAACACAGTGATCTATAGTGGCTAACATACGGGCTTGAGGATTTCTCTGAGAATTGCATGGTAACTTGTGGATTTAGCTCCAGAAAACTACTGTTAGATCCAATCTTGCATATAATTTCAGTGGATGCATGGACCACATGCTACCTGCCATCCACCTCACCTTAAGAACTTCTGCGAGAGGGATTATTAGGGGGTGAGAGGGGAGCTGGAAGGCAGAGGGAATAGAAGTGTAGGTGATATGTGTGGATGTCCGGAATCTCACAGTGAATCTCACTAATTTGTATAATTAATGTGCATTAATAATTCTAATAAAAATGAAATTTTACACAGAAGAGATTGGAGCACCAAGAAGAAACAAAGAAGGAACTGGATGTTTGATCAAGAGGTCTTCAGCACTTGAAATTTATAGTGTAATAAAAAAGTGACCACATGGTGCCGCTGTAAGATCATTAAGCCCCTTGGCTTTCAGAAACAGGAAGCTAGGTGACACAGGCCAACGAAATGGAAGGACTGGGCTCATACAGGCTTGCAAGGCCATGCCCACTGTAAAGGATTTGGCAAGATCCAGATGGTGGTTTTTGTGGGCCGTTCATGTTAGACAGGAAACCAAAAAGCTATCATCGACAAGGTCAATTGTTTAAAATCTTTCACTGCTCTGGTATTAAGTAGGTGTCATTTGCGTGGAGAAACTGATTCGCAGGAGATTAGTGATGAAAGACAATGTTCTTTTTTTTAAAAAATTAGGAGTTTTTTTTTTCTTTTTTCTTGAAAAGAACTGAGTTCACTTGTTGGATACTAATCATTTTCTTAAAAATATAAAGCCTCAGTTTCTGTTTCACTCAAAACTGAGGAAATAATCTTTTTTCTGAAAGAAAAAATACTTATGAAGATAGGTTACAAAGAAAACTCTTCCAAAGATACACTATCAGTTAGAAGGTTTGGTGGAGGATTTTTACCAAGCAGAGCCCTTTTCTTTTCCATCTCTGCACGCTTCCAGGGCCTTCCCCTCTAACTTGTGCAGATATTTTCTAGTGCACGGTATGGGAACAATGGTCAGTTGGACTCTGTTTAACTCTTCTTCTCCCCAAAAACATTTTATTAAGATTTGCAATGTAAAGGCAACATTTACATTGAGAGATATTTACTGTCAAGATTTCTTAGTTTTAGATAGGACAGAAACAACATGTGGATTTGTTGAAAGGACGGGTTTTATTTTTTGTTGCTTATAAAGACTTAATGAATGAATACCTTAGCAGGTTGTATGTTACCTGAACACAGTGTTCAATTACAGGATGTGACTTCTGGTGAGACTGGCTGTGGACATCAGAGAAGAAGCACGCCTGGCAGATGTCAAAGTTGAGACACTTCAGACAGCGATATCTGCCAATTAAAATGGAAAGGCAGCTTATATCATTACCTAGGAGAGCAAAGAGATAATACTGAGGGGGAGAGTGAGTCCCCAAAACCTTACAGAGGTAGGAGCTGTCCAGTGAGTAAAAGGTTTCTTTCAAAGTTGATACAGATGTTAAATAACCTTGATGTGTCTATTTAATCAAAGAATTGTTCATTTGATCTTCTTCTTCTT